GTTAATCTTGCTGACACATTGTGACAACTAGGTTGTCTTGCACTTCACTTGCTCCGAACTGGCCATCCTTGAGTTCGACACTCGGGGGTTTCACAACCTTCGTTTACACCTCACGCACCTTCATACCATCCACCACACTAAACAAATAACATATCATCAGGTAATAAAATGAGATTAGCCCCCCTAAACTTAATAACAGTAATTAATAATACCAATTCATAATAATTACAATAAAGGCAAAACTGTAATTAAGGGATGCTAAATACTAATCTCAATTTACCACATAATAATTCATCATGACTATTAGGGAGACTGAAGTTAAGGTAATAACCAAATTACCATTATACAGACAATATACAATTATATTGCTTTTGCCATAAAATTAAGAGTGAATTCCATTTTTGGTCCTACTGTTATAGGGGTTTTTCAAATTTTAGTCCACCATAATTTTTTGTGCCACATTGCGCCCACTGTTAATAAAATCATTCCAATTTTAGTCCACGTTAAGATTTTCCGTCAAGAGGCTGTTTAATCCAGGGGCATTTTGGTCTTTTCAAGTTTGTTCTCCTAATTTAGAAAGAAATTTTCGGCGATGGTGTTCCAATCTGTTTTTTGCCGCCACTAAGAGACTTTTTAATCCATGTTTGTTCTCCTAAACCGTCTCTGTTGTTTTCTTGAGAGAGTCGGCGCTTATCGCTCATACTGGGACTCATGGTGCCAGCGGCAGTGGCTCGGCTCAAGCTTGTGGAGTAGCCTGGCGGCGGTGAATTATGTCGATATCTCGGTCTCCTTCATTGATTCGGTGGTCTGGTCCCTGATTTCCGCCTTCGAGTCCGTTGCTCTTGTCTCCATGCTCTCACATAACCCGCCGCAGGCTCCACAAATCCAGGTCAATGACCGGAATTAGGAGAACAAAGATAAAAAGACCAAAAATGCCCCTGGATTAAACAGCCTCTTGATGAAAAATCTAACGTGGACTAAAATTGGAACGATTTTGTTAACAGTGGGCGTAATGTGGAAAAAAAAAATTATAGTGGACTAAAATTGGAAAAGCCTCTATAACAGTAGGACCAAAAATGGAATTTACTCTAAAATTAAAGACTTAATATTATTATTAAGGCCATGAAAAGTATTGATAAATTAAAAACATAATCAACTAAAACAATAGTTTGTATTTCTTAATGGCCAAAATAACAATTAAATCCTTAATGTCTCAAAACAGGCCAAGACAATAATTATAGCACTTAATCACTCAAATTAGGCTCATAAACCTCAATGGCCTAAGTGAGTTATAACATGAACGATAAATGGTCTAGTACTGAAGTAGACCCAAAACTCAGTATTATTACCAACGATGAATACCAAAATATTGTAGTTAGTAATAATTAAAACTTAATAAACATGTTATAAGGAGCTATAATTATTATTAAAATATCAATCAAAATGGTGGGATCCATACTTTAATGATCCAAGATAGGTTCCAAATAGCTTGTTCAAAATATGTTCTAAAGTCCTAGAGACACATAAAACTAAAATGTGCTCAAAATTAAGGGGAAACCAAAAACAAGTTGTCTTAATAGACCACAATGTTCAAAATTGGCCTAAGGATCCAAAATTGAATGACATTTAATAAAGAATTTATATACTACAAGTTAATAATATGCTAAATTCTTATTAAAACATGCTTTTCTAAACGCATAATTATAACAATAAAATGATTATAAATATACATAGCATGATTGGATTTGCATATTAATATATTATTAACCCACATATAAATAACAATGCTTGAAACAATTTAATATGTACCTTAAAGTTAAATTAAAATTCAAATAACAAATTAAAACTTAATATTTGCTCTAGAATGATAATTTAATAATTAATTAAGGAGAAATTAAATTAAACAATTGGCTAGTCAAAGGCCAAATAAGATGAAAGAAAAACTTAAAGAAGCCCAATAAACTAAAACAGGCCTAAGATTTTTTTTTTTAGACCATGTCTGCCCAAAATGGCCTGACCCGGCCCAAATAATATATTCCATCATCTTCTCCATCTTTATGCCTAGCTAGAAGCCATAGCAGTGGCTACAAGGAGCAGCAGCAAGAGTTGCCTGAATGAGAAGAAGAGGACAGTCGACGACGCCGAAAATCCAGCCCGCCTCCGCCATCTTTCCTCGTCGCGAGACGCCGCCTGCATCAGCATCCTCAATCACTAACGTGAACCCTAGCTGTCGTGAGACACGTCCGAAGAGACGATGAAAAACAGCAGCAATCCGGAGCCGATGCCGCCTGGAGGAGGAGAGAGAGCAATGACGTTGCCGAAAACCCAGCTTCACCACCACCGTTTCTCCTCTTCGCAGAGCCAACATCTACCGCCATCCTCACGGCGACGTCGATACACGAAGCTCGTCGTCGTCCAAGCATGCCTGAGGAGCAGCGACAGCCCGTTTTCTCACTGCGACTCCGCCCAAGCTTGCTTCGTACTGCAAAATCGCGAACACCATCTCTTCGCCCCCCACCGTCGTCCAATTGTCATTTCCAAAAGAAAAAACATCGCATATCGACAGCTTAATCGGAAAATTGTCACCGGAAAAATAAATTCGGCTAGAACGTATGCAGTAGGTAATTTTAGATTGAATAATTTTGGAAAACAAATCAAAATTATTCTTCAAGCTCGTAAAATCATTTACGATAGAATCAATAAAATTAACTACAGAATCAATTGTAATTAATTCATTCAAAACATAGACACTAAATTGCTTAATTATATCATGACTAAATTGATATATTTTGTACGTATATTTCAAAGAATTAATATACAAAACATATACAAAAACTTGATGTATATGTAAATTTAACTTAATATTGTTTTAGGCAAAACAATCAACCAGGCAGAGATTATAAAGGCTCTGATACCAAATGTTAGACATAGAATAATCTAACTATACTGAACTATAATATACGAGAAGCCTAACCTCGTAGTAGAGCGGAAGCGTAGCCGTGTTGATCTCCAATCACAGTCGATGTTCCTGTTGTGCTGCCTGTTAATGGTAAACCGTTAGCCATTATTTGCCTCATACCTGACTCAGAACCCTAGATGATGTGTTGGTGTCTACTGAGCAGTATGAGTACCGTAACTGAATGTGCTATCTCATCCATAATCCTGTATCCCATCAATTTAGATTTATATTAGGCACAGAGTTTGGTGGACTAACAACTTCTAGTTATTCAGTTCAACCAGACCACTTAATAAGCCTAGTCAACTTGCACCACTTAATTAATTCCCTAATATATAATATATAATATATAATATATAAGTAGGGAAAATCTTACAATTCTACCATTGAAATGGGGACTGCGTGGAGAGTGGGTAGTGGAGAAACGCTGAATTTTTGGTATGACTGGTGGGTTGGTGACAAACCACTCGGGTTGCTCAATAATGTGATTATCTCGGATGATATCGCAGATGCTAAGGTCAGTGATTTCATTTTGCCTAACCGTTCTCGGGATTTTAACAGGTTGCAAAATATTCTCCCCCGTGATGCGGTCAACAAGATTAGGGCCATTCCAATTACCTTAAATGATCAGATTACAGACTCCCTCTACTAGTTGGGATCCCCCAACAGATACGTTTTCGGTTCGCGCTGCTTTTATGTATCTTTCAGGGTCTGCTGACGAAACAGAGGACATTGGCTGGGTTTGGAAAACTCATGTGACGGAGAGGTGTCGTATGTTCTTGTGGCTGACGGTGAAGGAGAAACTCCTTATAAATGTTGAGAGGTGTAATAAGGGGTTGACAGATGATAGTCGTTGCATGGCCTACGGAGAAGAGGAAGAGACCGTGGCGCATATTCTAATGGGATGCGACTTCGCCAAAGCATGCTGGAGAAGAACCTTCCATCTGATCGCCTTCTAGTAGGGTTTCATAAATTCTGTTAAGGGGTGGGTGAGGCACAATTGCTTAGCTGGAGACTAGATGAGCGGCTACCCGTGGGCAGTAACCTTTGCCTACACATGTTGGGAACTTTGGAAAGCTCAAATACAAGAGGATCTTTGATCGGAGGCAAAGCTCTCTGGAAGAGATTGTGCGACACTCAGCGGCCATAGCTATGGAGACGGTGGCCGTTTATTACAAACCAAATTCGGACCGTGTGGCCAGAATGCGTTGGATTCACTGGACTCCACCAGTGGATGGGTGGATTAAATTGAATACAGATGGAGCCTGCAAGAGCAGTACGGGGTTTGCCAACGCAGGAGGGCTGGCTCGGAATCATCGTGGGGATTGGTTGTTTGATTTCACACCAAAACTGGGTTAACTAATAGCTTTGCCGCTGAGCTGTGGACCTAAGGGAGGGTCTACGGCTGGCAAAGGATATGGGGATAAGAAGGGTGATCTTTGAACTGGATTCGGAGTCAGTCTTCGCAGCTATAAGAGGAGAAGAGAAGGTGGATGGGTGCTCATCAATATAATTTTTTAAAGAAGAATAAATTCAATTATTGTATTAGATTCACACCACGAAACTCCAAGTGATAGTATTGTATATTGGGGTAAGGTGCCAAATACTTTTTTTTTTTTTTTTTTAAGCTTTGAATTGAACACCAAGAAAATGCTTGCCTAAATGCACACAAACGTGTGAGTATATATGTGCATTTATAAATTTTGATATTAATTTTGTTAAACATTTACTTAAGTACGTATTGTCTGTCATATTTTGAAGAGAAATATTTTTGATAATGTATTGAATGAAATAGTCTTATAACAATTTCAAAATACAGAGAACATAAAAGAGTACTCAAAAAAAAAAAGGAAAAAGAATACTACGCAATAGTTTGTCATGATGGTTAATATTGAATTTCAATATGTAATGTTCATTGCTTTAATTGGATAATAAATTTTAATTTTATCCAAGAAAAAAACATTTCATTTCGCTATACAAATTATTATTTCCAATCATATCATATATATTCAAAAGAAAAAGAAAGAAAAAATTAAAACTAAAATTAGTAGGGGTGTATATTTCTCGTTAAGCCGCCGTTAACGTTGGTGAAGAACCCAACAAGCTCCGGTCGGTAAGGAAGGTAGGATCGCCGTCTTTCTTCGTCCTTCGCCTTACTTCTCATGTAACGCTCGTGAGCCAACGCCGTTACATTCTTCTTCGTTTTCTTCTGCTGCGCCGTTACGTTGTTTTCTCCGCCAACTCCTCCGGCGTTGACTTTGACTCTGCCGGCGATTTTCTTCTCCGCCGCCCCGTTTAAAAACACAAACGCATCCCTCCCGTCGCTGTTGCTCCGGTGGCCCAAATCCCTGAATCTCCAAAGTTTCGAAAACCCCGTCGAGTTGCTCTTCTTGCAGCAACCCTCCCGTCCCGCCGCCGCCTTTTCCTTCGACCACTCGCAGCAAGGTCCGGCGATGGCGTCGTCTCCTGCAGAAGACGCTGCCTCCGTCGCCGCCACCAGATGCTCGTTCCTTGTCGCCGCGTAAACATGTTTGACCGGCGGCCTGTCGGTCAACAGAAGATCTGTGTTGAACAACGGAAAAACCAGACGGGTCTCCTCCGCCGCCATGTCCACTCCGTCGAAAACAAAAGAAAAGTCATCGTCATCATCATCATCTTCATCTTCATCTTCGAGCTCATAACCATTTTCTTCTTCTTCTTCTTCTTCTTCTTGATAATCTTTCTTCACTTCATTATGGTCAACTTTTTCTTCATCAAAGTTGATCTGAGCTGAGAAATCTTGAGCTAGAGTAGTATCCATGGCGGTTTGGAGTATTAGTTGTTGAGAGATTTTGGTGTTTTGATAAAACAGTGCTTACGTGTTAAATTACGTTGCAGAGTTGAAGATGGGTATGGGGTTTGGATTGAAAGAAACGATAGATATATATATATATATATATATATATATATATATATATATATATATATATATATATATATATATATATATATATATATATATATATATATATATATATATATATATATATATTGCGTGGTTGGTCGTAGGGTCAAACTTTGATTTAGTATTATATGTTACGTTGTACGCTTAGAAAGTTCGAATATGGAATAGTATTTATTTATTTTGGGAACATTAAGGCGTGTTTGCCTTGTTTGGGAAGGAAGAAAATGAAATGACTCAGAAGATGTAGGAATCACAGATGGTCGGTTTGGGTTGCAACAAATATTTAAGGCCGGAGAAAAAAAATTATAATTTTATGCAAAAGAAATTATTAGAATTTTTTTTTATGAGGGAAACCACACAACCTTTTGGGTATAGATAAACCCCACTTTGTGATTTTAACCGACAAAGGATCACAAGGAAGTAAATCAATCTCGTCTTGTGATCGTAGCTGGCAAACCGAACTAACCTAGGTTACGCATAGTTGACTAACTCAAACCAAGAGGCAAAGATTTGAACTCGTGACCTTGTAGTTACCAGTGTGAATCTCTTGCCATTTTGGATGGGGTTACTCCCTACTTGGATTGAGAATATTGATTCCATTGTTTGGTTGAATTTGAGATTATAAAAATTATTAAGAAATAATGAGTACAAAGACCAACATACTCCTAATAACAATAATAATAAAAATGTGAGGGCAATGTGAGCAAATAAAACTTTTTCCATTGAAAATAAAATAACAATAATGTTTAACAAAGAAAAAATTTTCTTCAAATTTTGAGGAGTTCTATTTTCTTTACAACATGAATTACGTTAACCAAACAAGAGAAAATAACATTTTTCTCAAATTTTAGGAAACAGACTTTTTTTGAAAAATATTTTTCGGAAAGAGAGGAAGGAGTAGAATTATCTATTCTTTTTCGTATATTAATTTATAGTTCCCATAATCCCACACGTATACATGAGAATAACATGGGTGGGCTATATTATATTATTATTAAGTATTAAAAAAAGTTTAAACAACTAGAATCGGACAAGATTTACATAATCGAAGATGTAATAGTTGAGGCCTTGAGGGTTATTTCACATACATGATGGTGTGCGGTGTAGATTAAATTGGATAAAATGTACATAGTCCATAACTTAACCTTTTTCTAGGGTCCGATAGAAGATGTAAATCACGGTACGTACAAAGAATCTGTTCATTATGAACATAATCTCCACATTATTATTGTCGAGTTTCGAACATTGATCTGTACCCCCAGATATATTGGTAACATCGTGCGAGCATCGATAACTTAATTAATCTAATTCAATTGATAGTTGATAACTAATTTGAAAAGCATGACATAATCAAAAGACGGTTTTAAATATTAATTCTAGCAACTAGCAAGTATTACTAGGTTATTGACATATTGGATATTGTGATTGACGGTAATAATGTTACCGGTAATAATAATATTATAATAACGCTATAAGAGAGTAACAATAGTTGTATTGCTTTTGTCTCAGTATAGAAAGTACAGTGTGTCTTTGTCCAGAGTATTGAACATATCCCCTCTGGCTGAGGAGATGTCCTACTTATATCAAGCTCCTAACGGTAACATCATAATGAGGCATAATGAAGAGCTGAGCATTCATTCCTCTCTCTCTTCAATGGTGGTGTAGTAAGGACCCTGTGGTAACGTTCCATCCATTAGTAATCTGCCCGTTGGGTTTTCATGTGGGGCCGGGTCAGGTACCCGTTTGACAACCCGGGTCGGGTGCTGGCACCATTACTCTGTCACTAGTCCCCCCTACTCCTGAGTCTACGGATGTGTTTGAGTTGACTTGGGAGTAAGGCTGAATCTATCTTGATACTGTGCAAAATCCTGATTGATCCCGAGTATGCGATTTTATTTTCCAAATCACATATGATCTTTTTTTTTCTTTTTGTATGTTGGCCGAGACTGGCTGCGGCCTAGGCTAGCCGAGGTGCGTGCCTCCGGCCGATCGCGGTCGAGGAGGTCAAGGCGTCGCCTCGACCGATCGTGGTCGAGGCGTCGCCTCGAACGATCGTGACCGAGGCGTGCGCCTCGGTCGATCGTGGTCGAGGCGTCGCCTCGACCGATCGTGGCCGAGGCGTGCGCCTCAACCGATCGTGGCCGAGGCGTTGTCTCGACCGATCGTGGCCAAGGCGGGCTCCAGCCTATTGTTTTTTTTTTTTTTTTTTTTTTTTTTAGCTTTGCGACGTTGGCCTGCTTCGGGCTGGGGCGCCGCCACAGCCTGGCTGAGGCACCGCGCTTCGGCCACAGCCGAGGCGTGCGCCTCAGCCAGATGGTCTGAGACGTCGCCTCAGCCCCTTGGCTGAGGCGTGTGCCTCGGCCAAATGGCTGAGGCGTGCGTCTCGGCCAGATGGCTGAGGCGACGGCCGAGGCGTCGCCTCAGTCAATTGGCCGAGGCATGCGCCTCAACCTTTTTTTTTTTTTTTAGCTTTGCGGCGTGGGCCGGCTTCGGGCTGGGGCGCCGCCACAGCTTGGCCGAGGCACCGCGCTCTGGCCACAGCCGAGGCGTGCGCCTCGGCCAGATGGTCTGAGGCGTCGCCTCAACCCCTTGGCGACTGAGGCGTGCGTCTCGGCCAGATGGCTGAGGCGTCGCCTCAGCCAATTTGCCGAGGCGTGCGCCTCAGCCATCTAGCGGAGGCGTGCGCCTCGACCTCTTTTTTTTTTTTTTTTTTTTTTTTTTTTTTTGTAGAGTGCTGCGACGGCCGTGGTTGATCGAAGGTGGTATTGGGAACCTTTTTATTTGAGCGAAGTAACCTGGGCGGACCATGATTACTAAATACTGTTTACAGGTCTGGGCGGACCACGACTACAATGTATTACTGATAATATCTAATTAAAAGTTTTGAGTTCCATACCCGATCGATCATCCTTGCAGATGGTGTGGACTTGTAGATTCTTTCCGCCAATCTTTTTGCATGCTTTTACGTAACAACTGCGGGCTGCTCTCTGATCTCCTCTGACGACTCCTATCCCATTCGGAGTAGGGAACTTCATACACAAGTGTTCCACCGACGCTATGGCCTTGAGGTCCTCCAGTGCCGGCCTCCCCAAAATGATGTTGTGCGCACAAGTGAGTCTCACCACGATGAATTCCACGTCGAGTTTGCGAATGTTAGGGCTCGTGCCTATCTCCACTGGTAAGACCACTGACCCCTCCGTCTCCACTGAATCACCTGTAAATCCAGAGAGTGGGGTACGTACATCTTTGAGCTGGTTCCTAGGTATCCCTAACTTGGTGAAGGCATCGTAATACATCACATTGACTGAGCTTCCCGTATCGACTAAGATGCGGTGTACAATGACATCGTTGACGTCTATCTCAATCACCAGGGCGTCACGATGGGGTAACGGGCCCTCTGGAAGGTCATCATCAGAGAAGGTGATGGCCTCCTGTCTCTGTTTCTTTTCTCTGGGAAGACTCACCACTTCTCCTACGTATAGCTGCCGGCTCCACTTCTTTCTTTTCGTGGGCGTGTCGCCCCCTGCGGGTCCACCATAGATAAAGTGTATGGTGTGCTTCTTTTGTCGTCTGGACGCCACCTCGGTTTCTTTCTCGCTATCATTCTGCTCAGATATTTGGTCGTGTTCTCTTTTTTTTGGCGTTCGAGGTGGACGGCTCGGTGCCATCCTCATTCCTCGAGACATTTTTTGGTGGATTGTGTTGCGGCTGTTGCTGCTGCTTGGATCGCTTGACGAAATGTCGGAAATATCCATGCTGGATCAGTTCTTCTATTTGTCTCATCAAAACGTGACATTCATCCGTATCGTGGCCGACTTGCCTATGAAACCTGCAGTACTTTGTTTGGTCTGCCTGTGGGGAGACCATCATGCACTCCTCGGGGAATTCTACCATTCCCATTTCCTCGGCTTGCTTTAGAATGACACTGACGGGATGGGTAAGAGGAGTTAAATTACGCAAGGGGACCAGGCGAGGCCGTTCGTGGTCTCGGCCTTTCCCTGCGGTCGGGTGGTTCGAGAGTGGTGCCTGGCTGGGCGGACCAGCTTTCCCAGGCTTCCCATCTTTCCTACCATCCTCTTCGTCCTTCTTCTTCCTGTCAACGTCCTCTGCTTCGGCATAGCGGCTAGCCGTCCTCATCAGATCTTCGTAAGAGCGGGGGTGGTGAGCGTTCAGTTGCTTGTGGAAATACCCTGATCTTAAGGCATGGATAAATATCGGGATCGCCGCCTTGGAGTCGAAGTCGTAGACATTATTGACTTCCTTTTTCCATTTGATCAGGAAGTCTTTGAGGCTCTCGCCTCTATCTTGCTTCACTACACAGAGGTAAGAGAAGGGTTTCTTGCGATGTATGCTACCGGAGAAGTATGTTAGGAAGCTCTTGGACAACTCCCCAAAGTTTTGGATCGACCCATCCGGGATGGTGTTGAACCAGTCTTGGGCCGCTCCATCCAGTGTGGACAAGAACGCTCGGCACATGATGGCGTCCCCTGTCCCGATCATTACCATAGAAACCTTGTACCTCGTCATGTGGACACATGGGTCAGTGGCCCCCGTGTACTCCTTGATGGCGGGCAACCTAAAGTCCTTCGGCAAAGGTACGTCCATGATGCTCGGGGAGAATGGTGCTGCCATCCGTACCTCAGGTTCCGGCGACCGCTCCAGTG